TATATATATATATGTATATACATATATGAGCTGTTTTTTTTTTTAAGTGGTATAAGTTGCCTCAAGTTGCGACTAAGAAAAGTAATATTTTACTTAGGAAAAACTTATAAAAACGTCACATAATAAAATTGCACATGTCTAGAAATCTTAAAAACAAAAAAGTAGCTTATTAAATAGCATAAAGCGCAAAACATTAAATATCTCGTAAGAAAAATAAAGTGAATTAATATCAATTTAAAAAAAAAGAACAATACTCATATAATTGCACACGGCGGCAATGATGTATCGTGTCAGTCAAAAATGAATATCGCCGCTGTGATTTTATTCCATACGCAGCGCAATCCGTTCATAATCGAGTTAAAAAGAGAAATGGCATCATTTTTATGGATATACCGAGTGCCAAGCAGATGTTGTTTGATATTTTTTCCTGCGGTGTTAGTTGCAGGACTCCCAATATGCTGTACGCTATCGCCAAGCAGCCGACGTATCCGCACAGCGTCAGACCGTGCAGGTTCCTCAGCTCGGGCAGCAGCCAGTAAACAGCGTACGTAGCGACCAGAAATGGAACAGATGCCAACATCCCGAAGGAGTACACGACTTCACTAACATCTTCGACTGCATCCTCGCAAAAGAACACCAGGTAATCCGTGTAGTAACTTTTTACTCGACCCAAACAGTATTGATCATAGTTCAGTATACGATCTTCCACTTCGTCAGTCAACGGTCGTATTATAGAACCGTTCGACAACAGGTACCATTTCTCGTCCTCGTAGACGTCCGGATGTAAAGGATATCGCTTCTTACCAGAGCATGGATTCCAGACCACAAAACGGAAATACTCGTTGCTCGCGGTAACATTTGTCGGTGTAAGATTGGTCTCGTAGATTGCCGGCAGCTGCACGGTTTCCGTTCCGTTCTCCGTGTTGTTGACGCAATTATTTTTGAAGAGGAGATTGCCGATATGACAGCATAGGGACACTTTGGGCCTTTCGGTGTTGTTATTGCTGTCGACGTCGATCTAAGAGCGGAGCCGGAGGGAGCGGGAAGAAATAACGTTAACTCGTAATTCTGATGCAGTTATGCAGAAAAGAATTAAATGCCAACTTATCGATTTAAAGATTTCAATTGCGAAATATTATCAAAAATATGCGGTATATTATATGCATAATAAAATCAATTGTTGGAAATCGACCATCATATTTAATTAAAAACAAATTGGTCTTAAAGCAACACTGCATTTTATTGTAAATATTGATTTCCTTTCCGCATAACTATTGATCCAATTACAGTTTTTGTAAAGAAAATAGATTCCAAGTTATATCGTAAATTGAATCGATCACAGACAAGCAAATTGAAATAAAAATTGAGTGAAGTTGAATGAAGAATCGAACTGCTTAAAAGTTTGTTAGAATATTAATATTACTTAATTTTTTATTTACAGAATTTAATCACAATTGACACGAACACCCTTAAGCTTTTTAGAGTGTAAGTTTTCCTCACAGAGATCACAAATAGTTAATCATTTCTAATATTATCACCACATTCACACAAATGTAACTAATTGGAAACTTGTGATTTATCGCGTAACCGCAGATATTAAAATTCATTACGTTGAACGCATATGTATTAAGCAAAGCGGCATGAATGAGCTTGAAATTATCTCTACCTCCGAGTGTATATGAAGGGTGATAAAACTTTCTTTTCCCAATCCCTCTGGCTCTTTGTCCTTTTGATCGAGAGGGACGGCCGCGATCAGGATCGCGAGAGACGCAAGGAACAACACCATTCCTGGACGCCGTTCCATTTTGTACTAATTAGTGAGGCTGGTTAGTCTGAATAATTATCGTCTCCGCCTCTCAATGTGATCGCCGCACGGAAGTTTACTCATGAAAGTGCCACAAAGAATGACGAAAGAGAGAAGGAGATAAAGAATGTTCGATGACTCTCTGGAGAATGTGGCAAGCCTCTTTCTATGCTCCATAAAATAATAATTATATTGTGCAGGCATGGCCGACCTTGGGGGGGTGGAAGGGAGAAAATGTTATAGCCCTCGCGCAGAGGGCGCATCATCGATGCCATAATAAACAAAAACAAAATAGAAAAAGGTAATCTCATTAACGAACACGTAAGAAAGAGGCGCCCACGTTAAAAGACACCTCCTTCTGATACACAAAGGTGCCAATCCCTCTTTTGCATACGAGTGAATAAAATAACTTTTCTTTTTTTTTTAGTTCAACTATTGCATAGATAAGGAACGCTTATGTAAAGATTACACAAGAAACGCTATAAAACCTAGAACCGGCCCCACGTGCAACCTTATTGCGTCCCGTTGCTGTTAGTGCGTGAACCGTTGAACCGAACTCAACCGAGCCGAGCGATAAAAGATAAGGTAAATTTAATCAGTGAAAGATAGATATAATAGCATTTTTGGTGGATGGATATATGTAGTTATTTACAAAGCAAAGTATCCAGCTAATAAGAAAATTTATAGCACGTTGAATGAATGACAAATGGCGTATGTAGATACGTTTATAACGGTAAATGTTTTATTAAGCATTATTCTATGTAATCTATATAATAATATTTAACTTTTTTAATTACCACTTGATTTTAAGTAAAGAAAACTAATAAGTCTAGTATAAAAGCTTTTTACAAAGTTTAAAAATTGTGTTATTGAAGAAATTAAATTGATTACTAGCAATTTGGTTGCAACGCAGTTGTGACATGATTCATCAAATATAATCGGACGAAGTAAATAAATCCCTCTTCGCTTTCATCGCGCGTGCATCCAATCTCAAATTATCAAAGAATTACTGTTTGATACAGACCCATACGCGCGTCACAGCCGTTCTATAGCGTGACACAAGCAAAATGTAACAGAAAACTACAGTTAAATAATATATTTCTACAGTTTATATAATAGAAATTTTCTAGATAATATAAACTGACTGTGTATTTCCAGAAAACATGATTTTACAAAATTACAATGGTATGTCACTTAATAACTTTGCGTTATGCAGAAAACTCAACAGACATTTAAATTCAGCATGTAAAAGGATTACAATTACATTTACGTAACGCAATAATAGAAAATAAATTGCAAGTTTATGGGTGTGATCAGAAGTATCTACATACAAATATTTGTGTATGGCGAAATATTTTGTACTGTTAATTACTTGGCAACATTAAAGCTGATGTATATAATGTGAACACATTCCGATGTCACCTTAATCGTTTCCTTGAAAAAGCAAATTTATTTGTGCGTAAGAAAAGTATTGTTACCTGTTGTATAATGTTGCAATATTTACAAATATTTTATTATTTTATAATACTTATAGCAAGCGCTATTCTAATAATCTCCAATAAAAAAAAATAACTGAGTTGATTGTATAAGAAAGGGGCGTGTATCTTAAGATCAGAACATAGAACAACAGATTTACGTCAGTAGTGAACTTTTTGACGCACGCGATATAATTATCGGGGAAGAAACGGGATAAATGTGAGAGAAAGTAAAATGCGCGTTTCTTTTTCCCGACAAATTCTCGAAACACGACGTACGTTCATCCGGATAAAATATCAGCACTATCGCTAACGATTAGTTAACTTCTAGTTATCTATCACTGTACGATAAAGCCGGCATTGAATCCGATTTCGATGCGACTTCACTTCCGAGCACGAGGAGCGCGCGAGAAACGCGCGTAGGTACTCGCGTGAGCAACGAAGCAAGACTACCGGACAACGAGTTGTCGACTGTGTTGAATAACCGGCCTACCTGCTGCGATCTCATATATACAGGGCGCTCTGAAAAAAAAGCGAGAAACCTCTAGCAGTGATAACTTGACCAATCCAGCGGCAATGTAAATTTAGACTGTTTAGGTATTTAACGCTTTGCTAGAGAGCCATCATGTCTTTGAGAGAGCTACGAAAGCTGAAAATAGATTTATGAAGCGGCTAGATAAACGAGTGAACAATGAAAGTTTTAAGTTGCACGATACGTTATTTTGTGCATATGAAAAATTTATTTCAGAAAAGATATCAATCGACAGAGTGGGCGCAGGAAAATTTCTCACTCGATCTCGTGCGAAGCCAGTCGCGTGCGTGATGGAGAAACATATGTTTGCGATCGAAAATCGAAATTATATTGAATATATCATTTTACCGCTATTTGCGAACACTTTTGTCCCACTCTATAGGCGATGATGCCTCGCCATGGCGAGGCAGACAACGGAATACACACTACGAGGAAACCGGTTTGCACTCGCCGCCCGTATCTCACATCGCACTCATCAGGGGAATCATTGACATTTGTTTTGCGGGAAATCGAAGATAGTGATGGTTCAAGTGGCGCCGACGCGTTTTCCGTTCACGTCCGATCCCGACTTTCCTCATAGAAAGGAGCTCGCGTCGATCGTATTAGATTCCATGAAATAACGCGGAACGAATACGAAAAAATAAGCCGTAAGTCAGGAAACGTAGTTTTGCATCATTGCTAATCGCAGAGATATTGGAATGTGTGTAGAAAACCGTTTACAAATGATTCATGCAGCGTATCTATATATTGGTGTTCTACATTAGTGAGTGGAATAAATGCGATAACTCTTATTTTACATGATAACATGCGTACATGTGTGTGTGTGTGTTTTTTATGACATTTATGACATTTATTAAAATGGAAAATCAATCCGTGTGTTCTTACGAAGTAATTTGCTAAGATACTATCTGAATCTAATCTTATTTCTACGAATTTTTCAGAGAAATATTTAATATGGAAAAATTCCTCTTTTATCACAGATTGAAACAGTTTGTTTGGAATTTTTCTCTCTCTTTCGTGTCTTTTAATCCAAAGCACTTATAATTTTTATTTATTTAATAATGACGTATTTTTATAATGATGTATTTTTTTATGTTTTGACAGTTTTTAAAACAAACTATACCTGCGTTCATTAATTAAAGAGTAAAAATACAACAGTGCTAACGTCACGATACCTAGTAGTACGATACGTGACGTAGTATCGTAGTAATTATACTTATTACAATTAATTCCAGCGTTCTACATAAGATATTCTGTTAAGATAATATTCCCACGATTACATTTCAAATTAAAAAACAATCGGGAAAAATAAAATGTAAATTTGATTTTCAAAATGAAGCATTATAAATATTGTCTTCACACGAGACTTGTAAGATTACGATTATTTTCACACGATTATTTTCACACGAAAATACATGTTACATATTGTTAGCATCGCTCTCTTCTACATTGCATTTTGAAATATTTTTAAATTAATTGTTTTGCGATGTAAATTAGGGTATTGTTAAGAGCTTTAAATCTTTCAAAACTTAAACATTCTCTAATCAACGTCTAAGGGCCACTTTTTCCAACGTCGGTTAACGTTAACCGACGATTTCAATTTGTTAATAGAATTGACATGAATGAAATATGGTCATCAAAAAAGAAAAAAATTTGAAATTTTTGTCACCTTTAATGAAGATATTTTATTCTTTATGTTAGCAATTCTACACGGAGAAAATTTTATATCAAAAATTGCTATAGTAATTTTTCGTAATTTTACTAGTAATTTTACTATAGTACGGTAGTAGCCGCGGACCACAAAGGAATTATAAAAATTTTTACTATGTTTTTCACATGTGAAACATAGCAAAAATTTTCGGTCCGCGGCTTCATGGTTCGCGGTTGCTGCCGTACATAGTAATTTTTTGATATAAAATTTTCTGCGTGTATTAACAAATTGAAATCGTCGATTAACGTTAACCGACGTTGGAAAAGGTGGCTCTAAATCTTGATCGAGCGAATATGCTGAATTTGCAGATTTTCGGCTCGAGCCGCAAAAGAATTGGACTAAACGCAAGGTGGCTGCTTACCCGTCATGACACATAACTCGCGTACCGACGACATGTAGATGTAGTTCGCCAAGATCAGGAAAACGTAGGCGATGATCAGGCAAATAACGTAGCACATGAGCGTCTTGCCGTAGAGGTTTCTCAACTCGGGGGTGATCGCGTACACCAGAAAGGTCGCGATCAGAAACGGAATGGATATTATGATGCCTACGTGATGAGCTGTTTCCTTCTCGGTTTCCGTGTCCGGTATCACGCAGACCACGATGCCGATTCGATCGTAAGTCACCTGCCAATCGAGGCAATAATTCCAGACCGGATAGACTTTCCCGTCGGGGTTCACCAGGCTGCCGTTCGCCCAAAGAACCACGTTATCTTCCGGAAATTCGTTGGGATTCAGGAGCATCAACACGTTGACGGAACAGACAAGCTCGTTCTCCATTAGAAGAAAGCGGTCCCGCAGTTCAGCAACGTGTCGAATTTCCTTGGCCATTCTTTCCGGCGGCAAATGCAGATCGGGCGTCCTGGCTGCCGCCGTTGCCGGCTCGGTATCGTTTTCAGGCATCTTCTGGCACATCGCTTTCTTCTGAGGATTCTCGCGGAGAACTTCATCGCTGCGACAGCACTTCCTAATGCAATTCCGCTCCCGGCAGATGCAAGCATAAGTGAAATTGCCATCGCTCCAGAGCAGATTAGCCGAATAAACGCTGCCGTCGTAGAAAAAGCTGCCGTTGGTCGTCGCGGCGCCGATTTCCACGTCGAGGATCGCGCTGAGCGACGAACAGTGCGGATCGTCCCTGAGCGGCGTCGACGGTGTCAAACTGCCAGCCGTCAACAGACCATACGCAGCAAGGAAAACCGCCGAATTGAAACTCGCGGAGCGGACGTACATCGCGACAAGGGCGCCGAAGAACGTAAACTATCAGCCGCAACCCGTGTGCCAGCGATTATCCGCGGATTGCTCCGCTCTGCGGCCGGCGCTTCTGCGTCGGCGGATGCGCGGCGCCGCGACGCTGCTCCACGCTCTCGCCTCGCCGCGAAGAACGCTCGTCACTCGCTGAAACCATACCGGAAGGAAGGAAAAACCACGCCGTCTTACCCAAATAGCAATGACTGATGATCAGATTTCATCACGTCATGATCTTCAGATATTTACCGCGGAATACTTCATTATTTTTATTTATTAATTTTATTTATTTTTAATTATTTTTATTTATCACGCGAGATAGCCGTTAGCATATATCTATCGGATCGTTACGGACGATAGCATTATACGGTTTCTTCCTCTTCCGACGATAAACGTTTATCAAGGAAGGGCATGCTTCTCGACGACAACGTTTTAAATTCAAAGTAATTACTTATTTTTTAATTATAAATATTAAAATATTTAATAAAATTAATAACATTAAATATTTTATAAAATATAAGATATAAATTATTTTTGCATATATTTTTCACATTCTGTAATTTATTTTATATTGCTGCTGTATCTAATAAAAGAAGTTGGATTATGTCTGCAAAAAGCACATTGCAATCATAAAAATTCATTTCAATGTAAAGTCTATGGACATCATAAACCCTATGGAGATGCTAAAACTCGTTTTAGGCAATATTAGCTTGAACCTCATGCATGTCCTCATATGTCATTCTTTTCTGCACTTTTATGGATATCATGACATGTCTGCGTTCTGAGCAGCATATGAGCCCGCATCTGTGTCTATTCTTGTTCTCATGTTTGTGAGATATATGAGTACAATATGGCCTCAGAATGCATACATTTTCCTATTTGAATATCTCGGCATCTAAGTAGAACATTATTCAGAATCTTTATTTCGGAACGGCAATCCCTGATTGATGATGATTCTTCTTCTTGGTCTTTATAACTTTACGGTTCGCATTAAGGCAAAAATCGAGAAAAAAACAAGTTTATTATAATTATGCATAATTAAAATATCTAGCAGTGTTTGGAGACACATTGATGAGATATATCGTTTTATAATCATTTTTTAATGTCAAACTCTATTAAGTACAATATATATTGTTAATTAGAGCTGTGCAGAACAGTATTACATTCCATAATCGTTATATGTAATCATTTTAAGTATTCGATGTACTGATTATACGAGTTATTCCACGCACGCCAAAAAGAAATCAAATGTTTCGATATATCGATTACTCGAAACATCGATTACAATCAAATACTGTTTGTCATCGCACTAATTTAGTTCAGTCATTTATTATAGCTAGACAAATTACTGCATTTGTAATTAATTATCTGGCTCCCCTTCGAAAATGTTTAAAAACTGTTTAGCTGGATTATTAAATTTAATTATTTTATACTATTTTATATTATTCTATTCGGCATCAGTAAAATTGTGAAACGCGATGAAGCGTTCTTTGGCTTGCTGAATTATCACTAGAGTGCTTTTTATCGATTAATGGTAACACTGTATGTACATGATACCACTTATTGATACATGTTATCGTTGCAATTAATACTAAAATTGATCACTACCGCCGGATCAGGCATGCTGTTTGTCAGTCAACCATATTTGATCTAATATCAGACTCCGACCACTCCGACTTAGAGGAGTTCTCCTAACAATACATGTACTTATACTCGTACATTCTTGCGATTAGGTCGACCGATTTTCCATGTCGCACGTGTATCTTATTGACTTAAAATTGAACTGTTCCGGTAACCTAACGAGAATGAGTAATTTTTGGATAACATTATTGAAAGACTCGTCTAATTTTTGACAGAACTTTTCAGTACGTTTTTGAACATATTCTCGTGATAACGAACGAGTTATGGATTTTCGTTGCTGCTAAATATAGTGTTGACAAGCATCTCGTGAGTGCAAATACATTTGTCATCGCCGTTTTTATCTGTTAACCTGTCTTGTTAATCTTTTAGTGTGTTGCAATACTAATGGCAACGAAAAGGAGTGTGAGTGGTAACCCACCTGTAAAAATGGTATGTCTACAATCTTTTATTTTCTATAAAAATATTTCTGGCAATTAAATTTTAATATAATTAATTGAATTAAAATCACCAATGTATATCTTATCAAATCTTTATGACAATTGCACCAAAATTATATTAAGAAACATTTATGTTTGACAGTCACATTTCTGTTGTAAGTCATAAACATAAATTATCAATAATATCTTTTTATACAAGGAATAACTTTACATAATTTTACACAATTTATTATTTCCCACAATAATATACAACAATTATGTCTTAAAAGCTTTAAATAAAATAGATATACACTTTATATTTCAATTTCCAGTATATAGAAGATAAATAAACTGGGGAAATTATAAATATGTTGGCTTGGTTGCCTATACGAAATGAGATTCAATAAGCAAGAACTACTAACATTGGCCACGCAGCCTTCACAGAAATTTGAGAAGGAAGGCATCTTGTATGTTAGAGAACGGCAAGAAGGTTTCTTTCGCAGAACAGAAAGTAAGTTCTCAGAAAAATATATTTGCGAATATAATAAATATTTATTTAAATTTTAATATTAGTGTACAATATCTTAGAAGGAACTAATGCATGATTATTCTTTATGTATATTGCATATACATATCTGAGGTTTGACAATAAATTTATATGATGTACCAATCTTTTGTTTGATATTTAATGTAGAGATCCATTGTCTCAGACTGAATGTATTACAAATAAGAGAAAGACTGCATTAGATTGAAGCTTTGTGTTTTAATAAGAAGAGAAAAATGTGTGTCAATATCATTCCAAATCTTTCTGTATTTTCTGATTGCAGCTTGTTTAATATTTAGCTGTCTATTGTAATGGGTATTACATGTTTGTTAATAGATATGATAGAATGTGTGCACGAAGTAGATTTTATCAGTTCCCAATTCGCTTTATGTGAATCATCCGATATTCAGTGATAACAGCGAAGACATCAATAACTTATCTTATGTCTCTGTTTGTTTATATTGTGATATGGCTTTGCACGAAATAGTACATTTATTTTCTTGTATATTTAAATAATATTTTGATAATTTTAAATTGATATGAGGAATTCTCTAAAGATATTAAAAATAAAAGTGAATCTATTTAACTACACATATGATTTATTCAGGCGCATAAATATTAAAGTGATAATATTTGAATAACGCATACGAATTATTAACGTAAATATGAACATTTAAATAGTTTTAGTCCTAACTGGAACATAATTTCCAATGTTTTGATATGGACAATATAATGCGATAAATAATGACTAGGAAAATAAGTTGTTATTTGGACATTTGATAATTACACAATTGACGAGGGAGGTTTATATCAACGAGATGTTAATGACACACTGATAACGTGAAGTGATGGTCACACCCTTATTTAATTTTTACGTGACTAATTCGATCTGACATTACAGAAAAAATAAAATAACGACCAGTTAACGGTCGTTTTTCTTACTTTTCTTTTAATCACTTTATTGGAATGTCATTGTGATAGCTGTCAGTATCACGTGCAATTTCCAGGTACATGTAAAAAACCTGAGAACAAAAATCAGAGAGGAAGATCACATAAGACTCTGCGAGACCTCAATTGCGTTACAGCCGGCGCGAGCAAAGGTACAATATTCGAGTGTATTTTGCTATATGTATATAATACATAATTATTGAAATTCCTATCACGCTTCCATCACGATTCTTTCACAAATTAACACACTCTCTGGTTGAACGATTATCTTAACCGATTAATGTGTATGAACGTTCTTTTCGTTAACACAAATAACACTTGCAAAAACGAATCAATGCTCGCTTCAAATCTCACATTTGGGCAATTTTATTGAAAATTGGATAAAGGAAAATCAGAGAATCTATGAATGTAAGATTTTAACATGTCGGTTCTATTCTCTCGCATTTAATATTCCAGATCTAATATTTTTTTTTCTCACTAAATGACAACGAAGCAGGCAAGTTTGCATGCAACGTAGCGATACTAAGATTTTCTTAAGAGTTTAACGAAGCGTAAGCGTCACTTCGTAAGTGATGTTACAAAAAATCATCTTTAATTGCATATGAAACGGCATGTTTGTTGTATGCTTTGCATACTTGTTCGCATACTTTAATAGAAATTATCATAAAAATGATGAAAAATCATGACAGTTTAAACCTGCGAGACATAGTATTTTAAATCGCAATAAGAGCGTATGTAGATATTTTTCAAATGCATGCATTTATTCAGCGTATAACATCCGCATGTCTACGGTACAAAAAGTCTTGATTTAAACGCGATACTTGTAATTCAAGTTTACATTGATCACACTAATCTTAATAAGAGGGAAGGAATGAGGACGGATGAAGGACACCGAAGCAAATACTATAATAATGATAAGAGCAATCGGTCCGATGAGAAAATCGCCACTAATTGCCGGTCCGTAAACAGCGCGAGATATTCGTCCTCCTCTTCCTCATCTCTTCCCCTGTCGCTTGTTATCGTGTACGTGAAACTCTCTGACGAAATCTTTCAGCATACTTGCTTAAATCACGTTCTGTTGCTTCTATTGCGCAGTAAGTCTTGAACGATGGTGCAGATTGCGAGGCAACCTTTTGTTCTATTTCAAATCGCGGGAGCAGTGGTCGGAGCCGCTGGGGGTGATCATATTGGAGCAGTGCACGGTGCGCCCGGAACCGCCCAGCAATCATGTCCCTTTCGGATTCAGCATAGGCAAGTATTATCATTCGCGCGGCTTTCCTCGATACACCGCTGCAACGGTGCGTCGACGGCCCGTCCGTCGTCATCGTCGTCTGCACGCGTGCACGTCCGCCGCGCGGTTTCACGTAGCGTGCGAGACAACGCCAAAAGCACAGAAGGAAAAATGTTGCAGTTTTCGACGGAGGCTTGTTTCAACAGTTAGGCGCCAACACAACCGAGGAACGGGACAGTTGGTTGCAGGCGCTACAGCTGGCCAGTTACGAGTGCATGCGGAACCAATTATTGTCGCTGCGACAGCGCATCGAGGCGTACAGCGGACACAAACACGACACCGACATCCAGATGTTGCGACTGCAGCGCGGAACATTCACAGGTTGTACATTGAGTCTTGAGATTATAAGTTTTTTCTTTTTTTTGCTTGGGTAAATGCGTAGCTTTTCTTCGCAGTTGTACGTAATATAAAATTGTTTTCTCAGATCCGGCGGAAGTACCAATGTGCGAGATATCATTAGCCTGCGATAATTTGTTATGCGACGGACACGGCCGACCTCCTACGCCAGTTTTAGAAATAGATGTACAGTCAAAATCTTCCAAAACTTGGATTAAGTATGCGCGAACGGAAGTTGTGGAGGTGAGAAAAACTTTAAGAACAAAACTTCTTTTATGTCGCGCAATCTTGTAAGTGTTTTCTCATGGCCCATTTTAGCAAAGCAGTAATCCAAGTTTTTTAACTACGGTAAGCTTCCGAGCTAGCGATGGCTTGACGACAGAAACGAAAATTAGGATAACCGCATACGACGTCAGGGAAAGAGTCAGCCAGACCGCAACTCCGATAGGAAGCGCGATAGTGACGTTCAGTATGATACAAGACGTTCTAGGGTAATTTTTTCAACTTGCATTGAATAAAATAAGATGAAAGTAAAATGTTTTAAACTGGGATGTTAAATAACTTATTTAACTATTTAATAACTTTATTCTTTGACTTTAGATTAAGGATACCGTTAAAATCGGCGAAAACAACGACAGTCGGGTTTTTAACTATTAACGTATGGAATCTGGAAGCCGAGGATAAAGGAAATAGCACGGAGAGCACACCGTCGCGAAATGTACCAGTATATACTAGCAGTAGTAATCAACAACAAGTAATACTTTAATTTAATCAAGAAGTAGATAAATTTATGACTATATATAGCGATGTAGGTATTATTTTCAATATATAGGAATTTTTATTTATTGCAATTTGAATAATATTTTTCAGCTGCTTTCGCACAGACGCTCGCAATCCTTACCTCCGAGATTAGGTACGAAAATCAAATTTCCGCATCAGGGCCAGTTAAAACTTCTCTTTGCAAATCCATTTGTGCAGACTTACAGGCAAGTTTTTGCGTTGAAAATTCGAATCGTCTTTTTCGATGCGTTTATAGCTCATTGTTTTATTTCAATGTCGCAGATTCCACTCCGGACTAGGCGGTGATATATGCGTACACGAGATTATGGCGGAGAGCAAGCTTTGTTTCCAGTTTCCTCAACATCTACTGTAAGCGTAATTCACAAATCTTACATCAGGAAATGATAAAAGTGCGAAAGTGAAGTGAAGTCATGTAGCTGCAAATTTTAGGGGTATTTGGATACAGGAGGAGAAAGAATTGCTACAGGAGGTAGCTGGAATGGGAGAATTGAGGGAGCCTTGGCATACGAAGCAAATCGAATTGCTCGATCGTCATCTTCATTTGTTACATTTGTATTCTCAAGCCAAAGAAAACCTAGCCGCCTATAAAGGTAAGCAAGCATCAATTTTATGATAAAGAGAAAAATCAAATTTAAGGAGCTTATATTCTTATATTCGATGAATTTTGGATTTTAGGAACTTATTTCAAGCAATCGTCACGGAAGAACGACCGTACTTTAGAATTCGCGCCTCTGAATTTGCATCTTCAAAGAATGTGGGTTCACAACGATACACTAAATAAGTGCGGCTTCTACGATTTTATTAGCGTAGGAGCATTTACCGCTCATTCCCACAAAAGCAAAAACGGAGGACTCATAAGGTATAATCGCGTAGAATCGACGTATTCGTTACTTGAAGAATCTGTGAAATAAAATGCGTTTTTCATTGTGTGCAGACTGGTGCAGGCGTTGAAGGAGTCACCCATGCGCAGTAATCAGCTGTATCAAGGAACATCGAAGATTACGATGGCGCACGACGCGATTCAAGCCATCAAGCAACTACGCCGAGACGTTGTGGAGGCAATGAAGTCCTTGATGAAGCTCGCCAAGGAGAAGCAGACGAGCGGCATGCTGCCGATATGCGAGGACATGATCACGAAGACCAGGATCTTGCTTAGCCTTTGGGATCCTGGCTTAGTGGAGGAAGCGTTAACGTTTCTGGAAGAGTACAAAGTCGCCAAGGTCCAGGACGACACCACCACAACCTCGGATGAAACTCTGACGCTAGACTTTAAGGTCAATCAGTCCTTGTCGCCGTTCAAAAGAATCACGCAGCAGCTGAACTTCGATCTGAGAAGCCCTGATTTCGATGACTTCGTCTCACCCGACACTCCCGAGTGCATGCAGGACATCTGGTCGAAGAGCGGCATAAAAAATGGCGAATACGCTTCCATATCATATCACACGAGAAACGACGCGTCCAATTGCAACAATGGCGAGGGCGACGCTGCAGAGGAAAATTTCGTAATATTTCCGGACGTGGAGGACGATCCCAAGCAGGCGGTGACGGAGACCGACGAGAACGCGCAGCAAAGCCACGACAGCGAAAAGAAAGAGAGCTACGACGATGAGAAGGAAGATTTCAAAAACGACGCCGATCCGTGCAGGCGGTTCCTGGACACGCAAAAGATGTGCAACTCGCCGTCCGCGAATTATTACAAGCCAACAGACGAGCCGGAGCCGTGGGATCTCACTCAGTTGAACATCGAGGCGAGCGTCATGTGCCTCGTGTCGAAAGTGAAGTTTCTCTGCGGCAGATGCAGCAGCCCGGCCGTGCGATTGCGCAGCAAGGGTAGCATCGGCAGATCGCAGAGTATCAAGGGTTGCTTGCCGAGTAACCGACACAACGCCGAGGTCGTCACCATTCAGCCGAAGAACGGTATTAAGTGCGAGGAATCGAACAAATTGCTGGACGAATCGAACGAACGGCAGCAATCCAGTCCGGGATTGGAGAAACCGGCGTTCTCCAAAGCGAAGGAAGGTAGAGCAATCATTGCTATACATTTAAAAAACATTTTTCGTATAATGAAAAAAACTTGGTAAAAACTTGCGCCATAATGTATTGTTAGGTATAAGCGATACTTATTGTAACTCGTCTTCCAATGAAGTGTGCCAAGCAGTCGACTCGATGACGCGCGTGATCAAAAGTAATTCGGGACAGAGGAACAAGTTCACCGAGGGTCTGGACTTCGCGTCGATCGTCGACTGGACGAGCGAGCTCAGGCCGAGCATGAAGAAGCTGCGACAAGCGATGGACGGGCTGCTGAAGACTGCCAGATTGACGCACTCGGTGTTTCGCGTGCAGGAAGATTCTAAAGCAGCGCAACGCGCGTGCAACGTGCGATACAGACGGGACGTTTGCTTCAGTCAAGCGGTGAGCTCATCTTCGCATTGTTCTGTTCGCGGGGCAAGGAGATATGTGAGAAAACTCGAAAGTAATTCGAAAAAATTTCAGCTAACCGCCTTGGTGACCGGCTTAATGGCGAAACTGTGGTGCCAACGTCCGGATCCGATGTTTCTGTTAATACTTACAACTTTGGGACCATTGGTTTCCTTCGAAGGCCTTCTTAGTTATTACGGAGACGAGATAGATATGTGGGGCGATATGGCGGTAGCAGTCGAAGACACGCACACTGTCACATTTACTTTGTCGAGATGTGGCATTCAACCTAGGTAAGTAAAAAAAAGCTTTATTCAGAAGCGTCACACCATATTTCTCGACCAAGTTGCACAAAAGAATCCTTATCAAAACGTAAACTTTACTTTGCAGAGTCGAGGGAAAGTCCACCGTGTTCCAGCTTCCCGTGCCTCGAGTAGTGGGATCGCGGAGCGCGCTGACGGTGATACTTCCGGTTCCGGACGCGATTTATTCTCTCTTGCCATTAGTGCCCTCCTCCAGACAAACGTTGTCGTTCAATGTAACCCCGGTGTTCTTTAATGTCGGTATCAACGAGATGGCTTCCTTGGCCGAGAGCCTCGGCACTACAAAACCGCAGGAGAAAAGCAATCTGGACAACTTCGATAGATTAAACGAGTATTATTTGAGATTCAAAAAGCTGAATCTACCGACGGAACCTGCGTCCACGCGTTGTGAGTATAAAATTCAGTTCAACTTATAGTAAAAATAACAAAGATCCAAAAAGTATTGTAGAAAGTTCCAAATTTTTTAATTAATACGTTTAATATTTGAAATATATTTTCTTTTGCTGATAATTAATACTATATAATTTTTTTTTTATTCTAGTTGCATCAAGATCTATTCTGGGCCACACGTTGTCGGATATGATGGCCAACTTAAAGGCATGTGTGCAGGAGAAAGTCAACAAGAATGTCGAGATCTTGCAATTATCCTCACAAATATGTCGAAGAATGCGCGGTTTAAGATTCACCAGCTGCAAGAGCGCAAAAGATCGGACCGGTATGTCGATTACTCTCGAACAGGTCAATATACTATCGTCGGAGTATCATCTGGCGGAACACGAATACATGAGAGCTCTCGACTGTATGCGAAGGTAAATATAAAAAGAGAAGAATAATATTTGAAGAAACAACTTTAAAAAACACCAACAACATAACATAAAAAAAGAACTTTTAGGCTCTTTTAAGCATTTGAAGAATTAATTTTTAATGTGTGGCTGAACAGCTACTTTATTTTTCAGAAAAAATTTGTAATGAACGATTGTAATGATAGAATAATGTTTTTCAAAGAATTATAAAAAATTTTTAAATCTTCTCTTAGGTTGCTTGGAATTTCGACGAATTATTCGACGAACACGTTTCTCTTTTTATTTCAGCGAGGGCTGCCGCCGGGAGAACACGTGGAAGAACATCGGCGTACGCAAATATGCATTTAATAGTTTGCAGATTCTGACGCTGCCTAAATTCTATCGACCGCCAATCGGCACGTACGGATCAGCCCAGACTTAAGGAACCTAATTAACGTTATGCATGCATATTACACGAAATTAAACTTCACTCTCTGGCTGTGTAATCGCGGATTAACTTCCGTAGTACGCGCGTAAGTATGTAGTACTTATATTAAAAGTAACGTTGAGAGAAGGAGAGAAAACGCCAAAATGCGTTCAGTTGACGTGATTCTTTAGAGAATTTATTGGAGGCACGCGACTAACACGCGACTGGCACGCGATTGGCACCTGTTTAGCATACGAAATGCGACTAGGGACGTAGCAATAAGGTAATCGGTAATAAAAAGAAGCGATGCTTCTCTACCTATTGACCTTCTTTTTCATAAAAATTTTTTATTTCTAAAATTTAATTAAAATTGTTGCATATATAGAAATTATAAATTTTACTTTTAAACTTAAGGGGAGGTTCCAATCTAGAGAGTCTAAAGCAAGACGTTCTTTAGTAATTCTTTTAAATTAATGTAGAGTTTCAAATAACGTATTTATTAAGTTTTAAGAGTTTTAAATAATTTTTTTTTATTTAAGAAAATGAAAATTGACAACTCCGCATCAGTTTAATGTTAAGTCATCCGGCGGGACAAATTATAATTAAACGAAGGGTTTAAAACAAAAATTTAAAAAAAAATTTTTTTTAACTATTAATTTGGCTAAAAGATGAATCAAATTGCAATGCAAAAAATTAAAAATTAACAAAATAGCGGCACTTTAAATTTAGACATCTTAGTTTTTTTTTTTTTTTTTTTTTTTTTTTTTTTTTATATCAAGAAAAAATCTTAATTTTTGGAAAATTATATATATTTGTGGTTTATCTTCCAATAAAAAGTATCTATTTTTGAAAGGAGTGAAATGAAATGCTTGAAAATGTGAAAAGTAAGTTAAAAGACATAACATAAAATCATTCATATCATTATTAAGTATTTAAACGTTCAAAATACCTATACATATATTATACTATTTTGATGTGATCGCTTAACATTAAACTAATCTAAAATTTTCATTTTTTTTTAACTAAAAGAATTGTTTAAAACTCAAAATACTAATAAATACAATGCTTAAAACGCCAGGTTGATATCTCTTTTCGTTTTTTTTTTTAAATCGCCTTTTAAATTCTCCAGATCAGAATCTCCTTTAATAATCGCAGCCACGTCTCTCAAACGCAGCGCGTGAGTACATTTGTGCCAGTAATTACAAAAGTTGACACATATTGTTAGCTCACTTTCATAATCACCGGTGCATTTATCGTCCATATACATAACGCGCGAGCAGACGTGAGCTGATGTCACGGAAGTATAAATAGTAAATTATTGTAATGCACATTTGCAATGGAATTGGAATTGCGGGATAAATCGGATTAAAATAGAAATCCTTTCGCTTCTATTCAATTTCTTACCCTTAGATGGTCCTTCCAGCGTCATCGAACAACAGCTACGCTTGCATTCCGTTCCTGTTCTTCTGTGATGCAACTTTTGTAATTTTAATCCGACTCATCCTTCATTCCAATTCGCGGTTGTTGGCGAGTTTTTGCAATACCGTACTTGGGAAACACACACAAACGTGTGCGTATTTAGCGTAAACATATTTCATAAAGGATGCAAGTAAATTCTGAATTATTACGATAGTTTTAGCTTCGCGAATTTGCATTTTACACGATTTTTAGTGCTTAGCATACCCAAAACATGGTACTGCAAAAGATCTCTTTACATTTAATCGAATCCATCGTGCTCGTTGAATCGATTATTCGCCTCGGGAATAAGTATTATAGTTCGGTGCCATTCTTCTGCCATATTATTACTCACGGGATATACGATAATTGTTAGCATTAGCGTCGTGAGATCGCGTAAACGTTATTCGAGAATGGATGGCATTGTATTTAACGGGAGAACGTCGCTCTCGCATCCATCTGTGCGTGCGCGAGAGTTTCCGTATTATATCCAACATTTTGTCGTACAAAGAGTCCGAACGCATAATCGTACTTCCATCACTCCAACTGAATAATCCACTAACGCGTATTCGTGCCGCATTCGTAAATATAGGCGGTAGATTCCAACAAGTTGGACATTGTTTTCAATAAATTATTAATTTTACCCGAAATTCAACAGTTTTCATTCCATCAATCTTTTCTTCCAATTAGGCAGCAAAAATCCATATCCATACATCCGTATAACATATTTCTGTGTATCCACATTCAAAAAATGATTTCGATCTTTACCCGAAACTACGAATAAAAAAAATCTTATTAACTAATTTCACAGGCAGGCCTTAATTGAGCAAAATTTCCGATTCGAGCAATCTGTTAAATTTTTAAAATTACGGAAAGAATTATAGCTTGAATTTTAGCGGAGAAAAAATTGCAATTTTGAGTGAAAAATCTCGCCCTGTCCGCCAGACGCGCTTATTATCCAGCATCCTATATCGCGCATTTATCATATTGCGATACGACGTATTTATTATGATCTCATACCAAGACATGAGCGAAACAGGGTAGGGTAGGTAGGTAGGGACCACATAGCAGGCGTGTGGGGGTAGAGACGGCCGGCGTGCGAGACAATATATACCTGACGAGGGCCTGGTGTTGCCGAACACCTGCTCCACACCGGGTCCGAGCGGACCTTTGTCCAAGGGCCGATATAAAACTTGTACACCGTTTCGGCCGCAACCAGTAGGCTTTCGAGAGGCGATCAAGCGACATTCGCCACGTTCCACATACAGACTTTGCTTATCGATTGAACGATTTCACCGCTGAGATCAATCGGATTATTTATAAATCGCATTAACAGTCTGAATAAATCGTATCGATTGTGCCAAAGCAGCAGTGATAAATTGCGGTATCGTAAAAAATAGATTCCGAAGATTTAATAATCGTCAAATTTTTGAGAATGAAACAGATCCATCAATTGCTAAATATCAAAATTTGAGGAAGAATTTATGAGTTATGAAATTTACAATACTTAAAAATTTGTAAAACAAAAATATAAAAAGGACATATAAATTGTAAAACAAAAACATTGGAAGAAGATTGAAGATTCCCGAAAGAATTGAAAAAAATCCAGGATTGTGTCGAAATTGACGGAAATGGCAAACATACTGTGGCTGTTATCAGCGATTATAGCGAGCACGTTAACTATTGGCACGTGTATGGACGAAGATCTCAGCAGTACGATCAAGTTATTAAAGGAGCAAGTGGGTGCCCTTCTGGAACATCGACAAGAAGATTATAATGCTCTGGAAGAGAGCCTGAAGCGAGCGATGGAGAAAAACACAGAACTTATGGTTCTTAAAAACGAAGTGAAGCAACTCAGGTAAAATTTTGTTTCCCTTTTTCTTGCACTCAATACCGTAACATAATACACATACATATTAGAACTCGCTACGTGGATAACTACAGTATCTGTTAACATGATGCGAGAAACCTTAGAAGTTAATCGAAGTCTAAGGACTCTGTCTAGTCTTTTTTTGCAAAGACGATTTTATTACAGTCTCTTTCTATTTAAAATTAATAAAATTTACTATTTTCATTATTCAAAATAGAAATGAAAATTCCTAGCAAATATAAAACTCTGAAATTTTTTACTCTTAACAACGTTTATGTTGCTTTATTTTATTATAATATATTTTTACAATCTATTATATTCGGAATTAATATATCTAATTATATGATAGTAAAATAACTTTTGATATAAAGCGATTTTGACAATGAAGAGTGAAAAAAATATAGATGTTCGAGTTTTATCCTTTTCAAAAAATATTCTTTTAATTTCTTTTCCACTGTCTCAATCGCATAGAAAAAAAAGGGGAAAAATATAGTCACCCTAATAATACAGCGTGTCCCCTCGCATGTACAGGAAGGAAGTAAATGCTCTTCGCGGCGGAAGCGGCAATGAAGCAAAGAACGAGCGATTGCGCGTGCGATGGCTCGGTAGCGCTGTGACGGAGCTGCAAAGCGAGGTCGCCGAGGTGCTCAGGACGCGGAACGCGAGCGAGGAGTTGGCCGAACGGTCGAGGATGCGGAGCGAGCTGGCCTTGCTGAAGGGCGACGTCGCCGAAGTCGGTAAAAGCATACGCGATCTCGGCGGAAGAATCACCATGATAGAAGCCACCCTCGGTACCATCAGGCTCGACATTGCAGCGACCAAGGAACGCACCAGCCTCATATCTCGTTCCTGCGCAGATGTCAGTAGTCAGGTAAGTTGTTCCCCTTCGCAAATATTAGAAGAAAAAAACCGACGTGAAAAGAAAGAAGACGGCAGGTGATATTCTGTCCGCAAGGTGGCTTAGTCAAATCAAGTATAAAATGACGAAAAATTCGCTTGAATGTATCTCATTTTAGAGCGACCGATTAATTAATTAATTAATTTTTCACTTCTTGATTCTTTCTTAAAAGTAAAATCGAAATACGCGGCGTAATCGATGCGTAATTATTATGTAATTATTTAAATTAATTAACTGCGCAAATCAGATTCTTCTCTGCATATATGCAAACTACAAGAATAATATATTCTGTGCAAGGACACATGATTTACATTCGATATCGCCGTCGGCGACACGGGATTCCTAGATGAGCGCGTGCCGATTCAATGGCTACGGCAGATTTTTTTCAACTTACAATCAAGATCAATTTCGTGGTGGCCACGAGCATATGCACAAGCATCGCACGCACACGCTGAAAGGTCTGCTGTATATTCGCATGCACGCAGACAATGCGCGTCCATGTAGATAACGGCTGCCGCTACCATTTAGTATTTACGGCAGGAAGAAGAAAGGGGGATGCGTGCTTGGTGCACCTGCTCCTCGCGCGGGGCGGCCAGCTGCTTCATTCCTGTTTTTCGTTTTGCCGCTTGGCAGCTGCTTCTCAACCTTCTCCTCCTTCTACCTCCCCTTTGCCTCGCCCGCACAACGGACCCTTCTTTCGGGCCGCACACATGCCCCTCAGGTCTATTCCCTTCTTCTTAAATACCGCCCTTACTTCCCGCCCTTTGCTTCTACCTTCAATTCTCAATCGTCATAAGAAGCCGGATGTTCTATAATAAAATGTCTGTTAATAGAAAACGATAAAATATGTTTCAAAAATATGAGAATTAAGTGCAAGATCACTCGACGGAATAATTGGTAAAATTTAACTTTCACGTGATAACTTTGCCACGACAAAATGCCTTAAACTTTTCAAATATATTAATTAATTAGGAAAAAAGGGAAAAGTGATTAGTGGAATATTATATAATAATCCCTATTTGTTAATTTAATTATAAAAAGTGGGAATAAAAAATATAATATGAAAAATCTTGCATTAAAATGAGTTAATATAAAATTAATTTCAAATTTTCCTCTAATACGCGACAAGGATGTTATCCGCCCACGCATCTGCGCGTGTTCTAAATTCTTTGATCTCACGCACAAGGTTCGATCGGCGATCCTTACCGTCTGCGGTATTTGACATACGTAGGCACGCTGGCAACCGCAGGCACACGAGTCGACAGCTGTGACCCTACTCTCACGCATTCCAAAAGCACGTGTGTGTTGTATACGTTTAAGCACGCATACCACATTGTGGGAAAAAATGGCTTGTAAAAAGCGGATTAAAGAGAATCGACGAAAATTCGCCTTGTAAGGCCAAAATAAATTTTATTGAAATTAGAGATTTGACAATTGCATTAGAAATAATAATTTTTCCAATTTTACTATTTTATAAAATTCATTAGAAATTGTTTGCTTCATTAAAAATTATATTCTACTATTGTATTATATTTTTGAAAATTTCAAGAAGAGAAAAATGTTGGGAGAATTACGATTTAACACACATTAATCACATACCTCCTTCCTTTGTTGCAGCTGAGCACGGTGCAGATCGAGCTGAAGTCCTTAAAATGTGAGCAAAAGCCAGAACATCGGCCGAACAAAGCTGACATCTTCCACAATGAGGTGAGGGGATCGCATGAGATTGGGTCGATCCGAAGGCACAGCTACTATTCCCACGCTCTATCCCATCGTGCACGCTTGGAGGACCGTCTACGAAATGTCGAGCGGAAAATCTCCATTGTAGCGCGAAAACGAGCGATGGTCGAGAAGCGAGTGGTATTTGAGGATCACGAACATCTCAACGAACGGATGAAGAGTCTCGAATTGGCACAAACCGAGCTCTCGAAGAAGGTGTCCAACGCTAGCCGGGACCTGGTGTCGATGAACGAGCTGGACGAGTCAATGGTGCGACTGTACGATTCGGTGCGCTTACTCGAGGAAGCCGTCTACGTCAATCGCTCGGAAGTAAAGCGAGAGCTGGCTAGACTGGAGATAAACGCAGCGCGAAAGGCAGCCGAGCTGTCGCTGACCAGGGAGGAGCTGAGCAATCTTCGACGCGCGGTACAGGCGCTGAGCGTGAGCGCGTCGCAGTTGCAGGAGAAGAGTGACGCGCAACGGAAGGGTCTGGACATCCTGAACGAAACTCTGAGCCGTCTGGATTTAACGCAAAATCTGGCCAAGGCGGTGAACGTCACGCACGAGTTGGAACAGGTGGAGGATCAGTATCGTCTTATGGTGGACTCTCTTCCGGGCAACTGCGAAAAGCGCAATGGTTTGACTCTGTTAGCGCCCGGTCCCGGGGCGCCCTTACTAGCTTCCTGCCACGACGGCTCGATCGTTGTAGCCCGCAGAATTGACGGCGCGATGGATTTCGATCGCAGCTGGAACGAGTACTCGATCGGCTTCGGCTCTCCGGTCAGCGAATTCTGGATCGGCAACGAGGCGCTGCATCGGCTCACTCGCGACAACTGCAGCAGACTGCGAGTCGATCTGACCGACACTTACGGCGTGCACTGGCGTGCCGAGTACGAGCATTTCACCGTCGACTCTGAAGAGACCGGCTACCGGCTCCATGTGTCCGGTTATTCGGGCAACGCAACCGACGCGCTCTCCTATCAGGATGGAATGGCGTTCAGCGCCAAAGACCGCGATATGGATATCAGTACCACCGACTGCGCGGCCAATTACCGCGGTGGATGGTGGTTCAGCCATTGTCAGCATGCTAATCTCAACGGCAGATACTCTTTGGGTCTGACGTGGTTCCAGTCGAATACAAATGAATGGATGGCAGTTGCGTCCTCCGAGATGTTGGTGCAACGGAAGCAAAACTGTTGACGATCCTGAAAAGTTAAATCAAACAATGAAATCATTTATGTTGAATCAATAGACAATACTTTGAAGAACTCTAAAGCAGTGTGTTCTATGTAATTTGAAGTTCAGTAGTCAATCGACGAGAACATTTATTGCAATACCAAAGAGTTAAAGACTTTAATGTAAATACAGTGTATGATTATGCACAGAATGGACACTGTAAAAATGTGAAAAAAAAAACGTAGATATAACTTATTACAAACATAGATATTACATAGTGATAGAAAAAAAAAGATCAATTTTTTGCACCGAAATAAATTACATATTAAAAAAACAAATTAATGAAAAAAAGTATAAGTATTATTAAAGCCTGCAATACTTTAATTCTTTAATATAGATAAAAAATGGCTGGATTTGCACATGCAAGATATTAAAAATAAAGATATACAATTTCAAATTAACTTTACAACGTTTAAGATGCATCGATTTTCTTACCTTGTTATTCGCAAAATCGAATAATCATATCGTTAGAACGTAATATGTACATATGATCAACTCAATGCAATTTGCATCAAATTGTTTGCATCAAACAACCGTTTTCGAAGCGTCGCTTTGTGAAAGATCTAGTACGTGTCGCAATTTGCACTTTTTCTGGTGTACAAACAGGCTGCCGCCATTGCCGTAAGCGGAACCACACAATTTGCAAACAAATGGCTTTTCTCCAGTATGTGTGAAGGTGTGTTGTTTCAGGTACTTGTATCGAGTGAAGGATTTGCCGCATGTTTCGCAATGGTATTTTGCTTCGCCTGTGTGAGTCCTTAGATGATATCTGAGTCCATTCGGGGACGCAAAGGCAGTGCTGCAAATGTGGCAGATCAAATGCTTAATGTTCATATGAATCTTCTCGTGCCTCTTCTTATAACTGAGAATAGCGAAGCTTTTATCACACTGCTCACAAGTGTACGGCTTGGAGTCATAATGTGATTTAAGATGAAACCGTAATCCAGACATGGAGGCGAAGATTTTGCTACAGACGTGACACAGATATTGTTTTCCGTTATTGTTTGGCAATTCATCACAATTAATATTTGGATTCAGTGAAACTTGTTCTTTTGAAGACGTTTCTTGGGTTTTACAACCAAGATTACTTCTGTCATTATCATCAGACTCTGGCCTCGTGACTTCTATATTATCTGTATTATCTGTATCCTGAAACAATACAGAACGTGTTTCTGATATAGAAATTTTTAAATATGTTTGTACAGATTTTTTCTAAACCCAAGTAAGTTTAATAAATAATATTTTCTTTACTTACCTGGCAATGTTTGCTGCTCTCATATTCATGCAACTTGTTATTGGATTTTTTACATAGATTTACAAACTCATAAGCATCCCGTAGCTTTATTTTACATTTGGGACATATAGACTTGGGTAAATCATCATCTTGTAATATCTAACAGAATAGTAATATAAATGTAGATATTGCATCGATATCTTTTCTAGGTTTTATTTAAAATCACATGTTAATAATTACTTACGTTGATGGAACATAAATCTGCGATCTGTAACCTTAATTGCCGACACTCTTCATTGTTGACATCATCATGGAACAAGGATGTCACATGGCATTGTTCCATTTGACATAATTTACAGAGACATAATCTGCATACTTGCTGCATGTCGAGTGTTGGACACATGTCTGAATTTGGATTTGTTGACACACAACTTTTCTATTCTTTGCAAAAATGTTGAGGTTAGATTAGGTTAAGTTCTGACAAACAAATTGTCATTCAACGTGTGTAAAATGTAAAGCAAGGATAAAATAAAATTATTATTTTGCACTAAACAATTGTATGATACATATTATATGTATTAAATGTTACGTAATACAATATTGAATTAGTTGATTAAAAGATTCATCATAACCTTCGAATATCACACGTGCTATAAACCCAAAGCGGTGTAATGGAGGAATTAAGATAAAATTAAAAGAAAAGAACGAAAATTGAAAAAATATATTTTTGCAATCCAACGAAGCATTAAGTGGTCAAAAATGTCTTTCTACAAATTACATTAAACAAAGCATTAATAGCTCATCTCCCTTATGTCATGTTAAAATTAAGAGAGCATAAGATTAAAAAATATAATCAAAAAATTGTAAAATATAGTTTTTAATTTTTTTAATAAATAGCCATGGGATATTTATACATATATAAAATTATTATACATTTGTAAAACGCTTTATCATAAATATATAATTTTATAATATATAGAAAAATATATCACACACATTATTGCACATAATATATTTATATATTAACTTATTTAAAAAAAGTAAAAACGTAAAAGAAGTTTCCAGTCGTGCTCTCACTTCTTTCTTATAACACACCGATATCTGAAAATTTGTAAAAGAATATTTAAAATACAAATAATATTGAGAATGGGAGAATATTTGTTGTAATGTGCTAAAGATTTAGGAGAATTAAATACCTTGAAATTTTCATATACCTTTTTTCATAGGTGTTTCTACAGGAAAATCTAATGATTCATAAAAGCATGTGTAATGCTATTATATGCAATATCTATTTCGCGCACAGTATCTTCTAAAATTTCCATAAAAAGTCTTTCATCTTCTATTATTGACTTATCAGCTATTAAAGATAGATGTAAGTTGTCTCCGTAGCTTAGCAAAGAAAAACCAAGAGCGGTATTATCCCTGGAAATAATTTATAATATACTCGTCTATATATATTTCTATAATGTATTAATTTTTCAATTGTGTTTACTTATTTATTAAAATGAAAGATAGTAGCGATACGTTACTTGTTTGGTATCCAGAAGATCATGTTGCTCAAAGTGTTATTCAGAATACGCACTTTTTGTGGCCCGCACATATTGCTGAATGCCATTGTGCTAAAAGAAAGACTTGAAAGAAGAGCTTTTAAAATTTTTGCCGGTAATATTGCGGATAGATATTTTATAACCCAAGAATTAAGCAAAATGTTTGGTCCTCTTCTGAGCTCATTATGTGCTCTGGTGATGTCCTGAAGACGTTTGAAAAATTGAGAATCCTTATGTGGCTCTGTAATTGTTTGTCCGTTTACGTTGGAAATACATATTTGTAGATAAGCAAGTGAGAATTTGTTATCCAATGTTATATTTTCATCAGGCATAGTCATTCTTATTGGTATGATAACTGTTAATGCATCAGGTGCTGGTTTATTGATCTGCAGAAAAAATATGTCATCTTTGCAACGAAAACTTTTAAACAAACAAAAAATTTTCCAATTTTTACAAACATGTTGAGTTCTATTTTTGAAAAGGTTTTGACATACTTACGCATAGATGATATTTGTGCACACTGGCAGAGAAAGCTGCTAATATTATATCTCCGAATCTGGCCCCTGTAATGTTTTTTATTTCACGGATTTTCATCAAAAGTTTCTGTGATTTGTTGACGTCGTCCTCTAACCAGTAGGATACCAACTTTTCACCTGTCTGGGATGAGCCATGTAAAGCACTAAAAATACATTTATTACAATAATGCACATTTAAAATTTTATTGTATTAAAAATAGATGAATTAAAAAAAAATTGATAAAAACTATAAAACACCATAAAATTCTAATATTTAAAATCAGAGACTTAATGCTGTTTTGTTCTTTTGCGTTTCTTTATTCTGTTTTACAGAAATTAATCTCTTTTATTTTAATTCATCTATCTTTGCAAAGAATAAATATTTAAATATTAAATATAATAACATACTTTTCGTCCATACTACGAATAGTCTGTTGAATTAAACATTGTGGAGCAGAAAGTAAAATCATCGTCAATCGCATGGCTTTTATAACTTTCTTACACAATTGTTTCAATAGATTTTTGAAATTTAACCACGTATAATCGATCCACATTTTCATTTGCCGCTTCAGCAAATCGATCGTTACATTCCCAGAAAATTTCAATAACGCGCAAAAATGACTTCGTAGATCTTTCAAAATTTGTGACAACGGTATGTAAATAAATGGTACAGATGCAACGAAAATATCCTTATCACAGAATCGCGCAACCTCCATCTCACCTTGGAGAATCTTTCCCAAATTACGCGACGGTGAAATAATTTCTCTAAAATCTTTTTCATTCTTGTTTATCGAGATGCTGTCATCAAACTTTATTTTTGCCATCTTTACTTCACTTTCCTCAGAAATCGCTTTAAGCAATACTTGTAGAAGAGCTACCCATCGCCCAAAGAATGATGAACACGAAATATTACAGGAATCTTGCTGAGATCGGTGTTCAAGTGCTCCTCGGGGAGCAAACAGCCTTCTTCGACACAAGATCTGGATCTCGTGCAACGTTTTCCAACGAGACACTCCCATGCAGCCATGTTATCATCGGGCAACGGTCTATTACACACGTTTCCCAAATTTCTCCTAAAAGTTTCACTGAAGATATCTTCGCAAGACCCATCGCAATTAGCGTTCTCGCATTCTAACCATCTGATTCTATTTTTCAGGTCGATTTCCTCACTTTTCTCCCAAAAATAGTAACCGAATTTTTGGTTACGACGATAGAGCAACTTTTCAAGCGATGTGCCGACAGCCTTCGAAACAATGCGATTATTTATCAAATTCCTGAGATCCTCCAGGAAAATCACGTTCGTATTTTGCGTGTTCTCCAATATCATCAAGACATTGATAATGGACAGAGAAACGATGTCTTCGGCAGCCCAAACAGAATCTGTGCCTTTCAACAGACCGGCAAACTTTTTTTTTAACTGAATTTTTAACACAATTTCGACTAAACGACGGTAGACGTATAAAAAGATTAGAATAATAACAATGAGTGGAGCAAATGCGAAAACGCAAATAATTCCCAATAACTCACATAACTTTTGATAATCTTTGATTCTTTGCGTTATTTTATTTGAAACAACTAAGTTTAATCTTTTGGGTTGCATTTTATTGACGATTTTAAATCACCAATTAATTTTATATATAACTTCAATCAATTAACTGTTAATCAATTCTTCTATTCGTCAAAAATCTCTCTGTTATTCATAGCTGAAAAAAAATTTTTTCAATTTTTAAATGAGTATACTTAAGAGTAATGTAATGGTGTAATATAATGTATATTTTAAGATAAGTGACTTTATTTAATTGTTTTTAACTTACATAAAGAAATATGTCTTATACGCTGCTCTTTCTAGTAATATGTGCTGCAGAAACGAGTAAACATGGTATTCAAATAGGGAAGCCATATACAAATTTTCCTGTTACTTTCATGATCAGATTATTATATAATTAAATCTTTTAATCGGTTTATTTTTCTATCGATGTAACTCTGACGTAATCTGTAAATTTCTCAGTATGTTTGTCCGTCTTATTATATTATATTACCTATCGTTTGAACAATTATTTCAAGCTGTATTTTATATGTTAAAAATTTTATTTTTTAATAAGAATAGTTACCTACATCGATTATAAATTTTCAACACCTGTTTTGTGCATCTAATTTAACTTTTATTTGTTAGAATCCAGCATTTTTTACCAAATTTTTCAGTGTTTTCTTCAGGATTTATGATACTTCCTGCGACGTCGAGCAATCTCTGTTGCAAAATATCAATCTACAATATACAATATACATGCAATTTGTTAATTTTTTGTTGAAATATAGTTTACATAAAAATTTTATTGAAATAGATTATATTATAGAGAATAACGGCGAATTTTATGCTCAACTATTTATGAAAATAATAAATCATAAAATATATGCCGCAAAAATAACTCATTTGACGTAATATTGCGTAAAAAGAATTTGTTTTTATATTTTGTAATATTAAAATATAAAATACTTAATTGACAAGGAATCTTAAATATAACCTCTTTTTGTTTTTCTGTCATCGTACAATTCATAGCAATAATTTGCATTTTTAATCGTTCATTCTGCAATAACAAAGCGTCGTATCTAAAACGTAACATATAAAATATTAAAACTAATAAATCTATTATTGACATTATTGCAAATTGAGAAAAAATTACTTTTGATGCCATGTTCTTTGCACTTGTCTTTTTAAGGTTTCTGGCAATATGTCAACAGAGCCGAGTTGAATATCTGTGACATTTTGGCGAAACAAATCTAAAAAGCAAAGAATCAATTTAAGAATAGATTATAAATAAAATCTCAGTTTTTTATTCCGTACAAGTTTTTTGCTCACTTAACATCTGTTTATTTCGCGTTTTAGCTTTTTTCAAGTCATCTGTCAAAAGTTTATCGCGAGATTTTAAGACAGAATACCGCAGAAATCGAATAGCTTCCAAATCACGTGAATACTTCAAGCTTTCCTCTAGTTTTTGTATAACATTATGAATTTTATTAATTTTTGCAACATATGTTTCCTCGGAATTCCTTAAATGCATAATACATAACATTTATCAATTGTTATCTGATTAATAGTGGAAAAAATAAATTACATGAAAATTTCTTCTTGTTCGATATCGTTTTATTAGTCTCGTGGTTTTTCTGTGTGATGAATAACAAACAGTCTTAAATAATGCGAAGCTTTGTTGCTCGTGCGTTATATTTTATATAATCCTATAATATAACCCTGTAGCTTTATTTACTTGACTTTTGCTTTATAGCTAATATTATATTTCTATCACTTCTTTGGGTAGTAAGTACAGTGCGTCACAGATATAAATCACACACAATAATAAAAATATATATGCATCACAGACTTTTGTTGTGTAAATATTATAAACAAAAAAATAAGACATCTAAGGCTTTTGTTTAGACCAATTTAGACCATGTTCAGACATATGTAACGCAATTTCATTTTGGAAATGGACATGGTTCCAAAATAAATTGCTTAAAATTTTCATGTATCTTTCTTAAATAATCTTGTGATCGATCTTTGGTATCTTCTAACACACCAAGCAATGCTTCTCTTCTCTTGCTGGTCATGTTTGTCAGGGCCTTGTGGAATTGTTCCATTAGTACCATGTCCATTTGTGGCACATCCAAATCGTCAGAGATATCTCTCACCATTTTCACATCTTCAGTTAGAGAATACAATACCGGATCAGAATCCTGTGATTCCCTGTAAATTATTTTGATTGATAATAAGAAAAGATTTTAATATTTTGAAACATATTACATTTGTGAAAATATTATTTTATTTATAATATATAATAATTTTGCTAATAAAAGTATTACAAATTTACTGCATACATGCTACTCATAAATTTTAAATCCTAAATTTTATCAAAATATTTGATTGTATTCAAGTGTTAAAATTTTAGTCTTATATAAACATAAATTATGATAACAGACTTACGGTTGCTTCAATTCCTTGGCAAGAATCTCTGAACAAACTTTATACAATTCCAAACACTGTATACTACTTCGTAGATTGCGTCGCTCAAGATATCTTTCAAAAATTTCCCTACCCTTTGGGTGAGACAAAGTTTTATTTATATTGTCTGTAATGTGGTCTAATTCTTCAGCTGTCAAACCAGTTGTACATTTAATGCAACCAACTGCTTCAGATGGCAATGAAGCCTGCATAATTGATCACACTTTAAAGGGAATTTTAGAGAAATTATTCCTGTAGAGAATTATTTTATTTTCTTCTCTTAGAATCAAAACGTTGAAGCTTACAGACAAGTAATTGCCTGGAGACAAGTGAAAACTCTGCATCAGATGTCATCGAGTAAAAAACATGACAAAATATACTGTAAACAAAATAACAATCTTATATTTTATTACTATCAGTTGTGCGATTGACATTGTCTATTTTACAGTGCGTCAGCTGACGTTTGCTTATCAGCCCTTGCATAGATCGTCCTTTATTTATGTCATTTACATTAAAAATAAAACAAATATATGCTCACCTTTCAAGAAAATTATATTGCAAAACCATAGAGTATGAAGTCTGGAGACTGTAACATACTATAGTAATATTCATGAGATCATATTTAAATCAAATGGCATTTTAACTAAATTTGGATATCGAATTAGAATTAACATTAAATAAATAGGCCAAAATGTTTAACAATATCTATTTGCATATACATGCAGAATCATGAAAATTAGTCTTTATTTCATAAATCATGCTGCTTACGTCTCAAATGTGGCGAGATTGTCCCAGAGCAGTCCAAAGATTACGCATTACTTCTGTACTTTATCTATGGTTGACGCCTCTTCTATAGTGCTAAATGTCAATTTGCTCTAATTTTATCTTTGTTGACGATTATCAGGAGTTTATCTTTACGTCAAGTGCAATGTAGAGAGATATTAATACTTAAAACGTATTTTTTAACCCGCTTACCATGTCGAGGACCAAGGTAATACTTGCGATAATGGCTATCTTTAATAATAATGATAAAATATAATAGTTGTAATTGCAAGTGAAAGTGCAAAGTTATATATACTTCCGCATATTTATTCAATAATCACTTCAGAAGCACTAACAGATTTTAATATCGTTTCAGAGCGACGATATTAAAGATGATAATTTAAATAGGCAAGGCTCGTTCAGAAAGCTTGTGCCAGGAAGCAGCAATGGAGACTCTCCGTTCAGTATGTCTGTAAAAATGATAGACAGGCCGACTGTCTCACAAACCAACAAGCAACATGCTGTTTTCTTGCAAGAATACAACATTCTCTCAGAATAGTAAGTTTTGTAGAGGTTAATGTGGTATGTTACAAAATTGAAAACTAACTAATTTACATGTTTTTTTTTAGCAAGATGTTATGTTCTCAAGATTTGAAGGGAACTTACATAATACCATCTGCTTTAAATTCTTTTTGTAAGTACTAGTACTAATACTTACAAAAATACTTTGAAAATGATGCGTATTAGGTTATATTTACAATACATTTATATTTTGGTATGTGTTTTCTATTTCTAATAATTTTTGTTCAGTATTAATATTCTATGATTTACATGGAAAAAATGATTTCTTTTGTTCCCTATTTTTTTCTTTGTAATTTTTTTTTTTATTAAAGTATATTCTTGATAGGTGTAAACCTATTTTATAGGTCTTGCTCATCCTGATTACAACTTGTATAATGGTCCTGATGTAAATATATCCATAATTCTTTGCCTCTTTCACTTTAATATAATTAAAATGATAATTGTTACTTTAACATGTAATATTTTAATATTTTGTTATAGTATGGTTTGGTGTACACTTTGTTCGGCAAGGAATCTATAAAGGCGGAGTTTTTAGATTCACTATTACACTACCTTCAAATTTCCCGCTTGGAGATTGCCCTGTAAGAATAACGAATTACAAATGGATTTTATATGTATTTATTTCCACTCTTACATATGTTTTAGAAAGTTGTGTTTGAAACTCAAGTTTTTCATCCATTGATAAATTTGGAAAGTGGGGTGTTATGCACATCATGGGGTTTTCCCGAATGGAGAAGAAACAATAGAATTTGGCAGTTGATACAATATATCACAAAAATATTTATTAAACTAGACACAAAAATGACTGCAGTAAATCAGAAAGCGTCTGATTTGTAAGTATGATTGGTTTACTTTGTTTGCAAATATGTTTAAAAGTTTAAGAAAAGATGATCATAATTCAGATTTTGTTGTGTGCAATATTACAGACAAAATAACAATTTTGAAGTTTTTCGAGAATGTGTGAAAACGTGTGTGAAGGAGAGTGTCAATCAAGTGTTTAATTCATCTATTGATGATCCACACTATATTATGTTTAGTCCATATGTGAATGAGGTGCACGATCCCATCAAACAAGAAATTTATGAATCAACCAAGGTAAATAAATAGTCACCATTGAAAATACTTAAAATGTGATTTAAAAATCTTGTATTGAATTTTTTATTGTTTTTTATATAGAGCGAAGAAGAAAATAAACCATTAGGTTTATCATGGGTACAACCTGGTTCTCTTCAACCATTTTCAAAACCAGAAGCGAGATAATGAGAAGTTCAAAATGCACAATTGGCATTAGTGAAACAATATACGTCCTTAGAAGCTATAACCAAAAAATTATTGGCAATCAAGGCAAGAAAAAGATAGAATCATGAAACTTACCAAACTATTTTTCTATTCAAAGATATATATATATATATATATATTGCAAATATATATATATCTTAAAATTTTATATGAATTTATGAGATTTAAATAATTAGTATTAAAAGAACAAATTAGAATATATATAATATATAATACTCTTGTAATTAAATTAAGATAAAAATAGATTTTCTATACTGATACAGTGAATATTGAAACACTGCCATCCTTAAGACTGTATTATACTCAAAGTTACAGGTTTGGAGTTACGTTTATCCAATGAGAATCGATTAGCCAATCAATTGCTTTGCTTTGATTGGCTGATTTTTAACATCCCCAGTTCCGTAGTGTAATACGATCTTTAAGTCTTATTTCCTTTCATCGTCATAAAAATTCGCCTTTAGGTTGCATACTTGAAATCTCGCGACCATCACCGAAGAGAAAAATAACGTAAATTTCACGATAAGAGTTCGAAGAATTTGCATTGGAACGTTAACTGTGCAACAATCTTACAATTTTGCGGCTGCCAAACACGACTCGTGAACACCATATTTATTACCGGCACGCCCGAAGCCGCTTCCGCCGCGCTGTCCAATATTATGAGCTGCGGCGGTCTTAACCTTTAATGATAGCCCTAAGAATTCAGGTAATTGTTTCATTGTAAGTAATGCATAAGCGAAAGTTTTGCATGCTCAATTTCTGCTCGAAGTTTACATTCGTGTCACATAACAAAAGCTTTCGATGTCCTACGGCGAGAAAATCTCGATTGTCATGTACCCTTTTGTGCCGCAGGTACATGCCTACATTTAAGGTTAAGGGTGTAATACATTGGTTGCGACAAGAGCTGTCTGAACATTAATCAATATTATATTTATACGATGATTTTGATGTTTGATAGTTTTTTTCATATTTATGATACATTGATTACAGACATAATATTGTTGATTATAAAATTGTTATTTAATTTTATAGAATATGTACAGACTGCATAACTAAATGATATAAAGCATTTGACATTTAATATAAACTAAATTTGAATTTAATTCATACAATTAAGATATTTGCTTTACTTTTATATAAATGTTGGCACTTTCTAACAGGTTATTTTCTAATAGTATAGTTTTTTTACTATGTCTAATATGATTTACTATGTCTATGTCTATTTCAGATTACATAAAAAGTATTAAAATGCAAACGATAAAGTGTGTTGTGGTGGGTGATGGAGCAGTTGGTAAAACGTGTCTTCTAATTTCTTATACTACAAATAAGTTTCCTTCTGAATATGTGCCTACTGTTTTTGACAACTATGCGGTAACTGTGATGATAGGAGGTGATCCTTACACATTAGGATTATTTGATACAGCAGGTAAGATTTTTTCTGCTTTAGATTATTTTCTTTGAAAAGCATATTTGTTATAACTTTCAATAACTTGAATTTATTTTTCTTTTTCTACAGGTCAAGAAGATTATGATAGATTGCGTCCCTTAAGTTATCCTCAGACTGATGTTTTTCTTGTGTGCTTCTCAGTTGTATCGCCTTCATCCTTTGAAAATGTAAAAGAAAAGGTAATGTAAGCAAAATTTGTATGCACACAAGCGTTAGTTCACATGTTAATGTATTAATGAATTTTCTTGCAGTGGGTACCCGAAATAACGCATCATTGTCAAAGAACTCCATTTCTACTTGTCGGAACACAAATAGATTTGAGAGATGATGTTGCGACAACAGAAAAACTTGCAAAGAACAAGCAGAAACCAATATCTGGTGAACAGGGAGAGAAATTAGCCAAGGAACTCAAGGCTGTAAAATATGTGGAGTGCAGTGCTCTGACACAAGTAAAGAAAAATCAACTTTACATTCATCAGAGAAATATTTCATCACATTAAATGAAAGACATTTTATTGTCTGACGTAATTCTCATGACTTTTCAGAAAGGTTTGAAGAATGTATTTGACGAAGCTATTTTAGCTGCACTGGAACCGCCTGAACCAGTGAAGAAGAGAAAATGTACGCTTCTATAAGGCAACTAAATGTTCGTCATCGAAAAGATGCGCATGCCTGATGTCAACAACGCTACGTAGTACCAGGCGACAGTCTTCTGTGTAGTATACTTGTATTAAATAGAACTAAATTTGCCTCTACACGAGTTTGCAACTGAAGGAAGAATAAGCAATCATGCAGGCGTCAATTACAGCAACGACTGCAGACACATTCCATGAGATGTAGGACAACGACTTTGAGCTTGTAAGGTTGGAGAAAATTTTTCTATCAAATAATATTGACTGTCTTTTTGAGGAAATTTATTGCACAAAGGCTTCATTTTTCCGATACGATTTTCAAGTGGGAAGGGCATTTGAAGCGCGTTTAAAGAAATAAATCTCTAAACTGTTCTAAAATCCTTGTCTTTGACATTCACATTTAATAAGGATGGAAGTGAGGAAATGCAAAGAGAGATTGGTGCTATTATTCAACAATATTTTTTTAAGTCGAAGCGATGTAGGTATCTGAGTCGTCAATATTTGATAGTGCACTCATTTGAGTAATAGAAAGTGTCCAAATATCTTTCGCTAAAATGGCGATTGTTTATTTCGACACGTAGTAGAATGGAATTTTCTGTTCTCGACGACGTCAGTATTAAGAGCTCTGTGGTGAATGTATAAAACAATAAATATCATAGCAGTATCATTTAGGTATATCGATTGCATGTAACAAAAAGATGCTATTGTTACTAATTCTAACTAATTCAAACTAATTCAACACGTTTGCTATAAAGTATCTTTATTAATATTGAAGATCTTCGCAATACCATGTTTTGATTCTTCAAAATGTAGTATTGTTCAAGTTCTTTAATATTAATAACGAATCTTCAGGTCATGTTTTTTAAAGTATGCATGGCAACTGCTTTAATGAAGGAACTTTTAAGAAACTCGACCAATTTCTTCGTACGTTTTTGAGTACTGTTTATTATATAACAAAGTATTTTCAGCAAATTTACCATCTAATAGATTGAAGAGTCTCTAAACAATATTTACGATTCTCACATAAAATTGCATAATCGAGATTTCTTCAACTATCACGATGCTACATGCAATGAATTTTATCAATTCAATCTCGATGTATGCGACTGATAAGTTTTCTAAACTGTCGCATATTATTAGTACTGATAACACATATGAATGTTCATCATGATACATTCAATTTGTGGGCATCGAATAGGGATGTGCGAAAGAAAGCATTTCATCAAAATGGTTTAATCAACTTTTACATTACGAATCCAGTTTACAAATAACAGCATTTATTAGCACCGTATGTGTCATGATATGTAGACACAGTTACATAACAAGATATTCGCATAAATATATTTATATCATGTATACAACGCATATATTTGTTTTATCTTTCAGGTTATTCGATCCTTTCGTTAATATCCTTAATATCCTCATCATCTTGGAATTATTTTCAGATTTTAAATTAAGCGCATATAAAATTTATTTGAACTAGCACTTTGGATGCTTTGGATTTAATTATATATTAATGTACCAATCAAATTATTACGATAGAAATGTTGAATATTTTATCAAAGTACATGATAATAATTGTTTTTTTTTTAATGATATGTTTGCTTTTGTTTTATATTTTTTATTTTCGCGCTGTGCCAGTAGCACGATATGTTTCAATTGACTCACGTAGTCACATTGTGGACATTTTCCTACACAAGTTTCGAGCACGCAGGATTAGTTTATATTTTCTATTTCTATTTTTCTCGACGAAAGTGAATTCTGCATGCGTATTAAGTATCGGAAGTACAGAATTGAGCAATGGGCATTATCATGGAATATTAATATCGTGAAATAGCAATTAATTTTTGCTCAGTCGCTATTCATAACTCACGGTATACATTCCTAACCTATTTATTTATTAAGCATTTTACTTATTTTCTGCAATTATAAATACCTTGTATTTATCTGAAATCGTATATACTCTTGATATTATTTTACATGCAATGTATAACAATCTGTATTACGTTTTATTTAAAACGTATCACGATATGTATCTATGTCTCAATTGACTCACGTAGTCATATCGCGGATATTTTCCTACGCGCAAGTTTCGCGACGATTAGTTCGCATTTTTACTTTCAGTTTTTTTCGACGAAAGCGAATTCCGCATGCGTATTAAATATCGGAAATACCGAATTCAGCAACGGACAATCGTCGTAAGATATTAATTATCGTGCAATAGCAATTAGTTTTTGTCCTGCTGCTATTCATAACTGGTATACATTTCTAACCTATTTAAGCATTCTACTTATTTTCTGCAATTATAAATACTAATTATTATTTGACTCACGTATGATCGAAATGTTTCGCTTAATTCACGTAGCCATGTTGGGAATATTGTTTTACGGAAGGACATTTTGACATTAGTTCATGCGCAATTCGCAGCAACTTGGTTACATTTCCTTCGTCGGAAACAAATCTCGCGTACAAGTTATATTGGGAATATCGAATTGAGCAACGGATAATCATTGTGACATATAAATTATCGTGATTAATTAGGTGATATTCATATCTGGTATAAGATTCTAACTTATTTATATTTCTAACCTATACATATCTGCTGTACTGCCAATCATATAAGTTCTTAATTATTTTCTAACGATTTATAATCCATATCGTATGTTTTATCCAAAAAGTATCAAATATACTACTTTGATATGGTAATCTGTAAGTTAATAATAAGAGAAGGTTGTAAGAGAGAGAAAGAGAGAGAGAGAGAGAGAGAGAGAGAGAGAGAGAGAGAGAGAGAGAGAGAGAGAGAGAGAGAGAGAGAGAGAGAGAGAACAAAATTCTTTGTATTGAAATGATTATCGCGCATACATACATACTTCAATGCTATAAAATTGAACGCACAATTATATATCTTAAATTATTTGATAATTTAATTTTTTAATTGTAAATTTATTTAAAAACACTAGAATTCGAATAAATAATACCGTATTTTACAGCGATGGTTATATATACTTGAAGTTGCAATTAATGTATTTGTAAAATTATTATGAAGTTGACTCGCTTCATTTGCTTTACAGAATCGAAAGCAGCGAATGCGTATAACAAACGCCGGGAGTGCCGTAGGAAGTAACGCGCGATCGTCACGTTCATCAAAAGCGGTGAACGCGTATATTATACGCCGGGAGTGCCGTAGAAAGTAACGCGCGATCGTCACGTTAATTAGTGCGGGTAATCGCGATCGGTAGTGCTTCTTCGATGGACTTGCATCTGTGTGAACGGGTTTCCGGACCAATGGAGCAGCGGATAGCAGCGGCGGCAAATCGACTGGTGAGTAAATTGAATTTACTCGCTCGGCTCACTATCGAAGCCACTTACGCGGAAATATATAGCCAATAATTATATTACAAACACTAATGTAATAAATGTTTTGCTTTCGAATAATTTTTCTGTAGTTTGACAAGAAAATTAAAAAATTTGTATATTTGTAATTTCCGATAAATATCCACATTAAGAATTCGTATTAAGAAATTTTTTTTCAAGATTCACTCTTTTACTCTCTACATTCTTTATGTGTATTGAAATTCGAATTTATATCTTTTATTACATTGGCGTTTAAAACACAATTTTTTTTATGATTCACGCACGCACGCATCTTCTCATCTTGATCGACGGTAATGACATTCGCGAAATACAGGAGTACTCCGGAGTGCTCCGAAGCTAAGAATCGAAACTGAGAATCCCCTCGCCGAACCGGCACGTGCGAGCGGAAATACAAGGGCTGTAGAGACGCAGAAACACAGGAGGCGGTCATTTGACGATCTGATGGGATATCGCCGACGTGGATCGCCTGCCGTCATCCACACGGCCGTTACTTTGTATTCTCTCTTTTCCTATCCTCTCATTCTCTTTACCATTTTATCAAATTTTTTTTTTCTCTCAGACGGATTCAATAAAGCTTGGGGCGAGAATTTCATACAAATTGTTTAAACTTTTGATTATTCAATTATAAGGACAATAGTCCGTGACATTTGATTCCTAAATAATAAAATATATCGCGAGCATCGTAAATATAAAATAAAAATCTAATAGTTTATCGTACGATGAAATATACCTTTTAACAATTATGGTCGCAAGCCTATCGTAAAATCTGCGTGCTTTCTCCCGCCATTGCATTCGTCTTCGTTGCTCGCACGTTCGCTCGCGCGAAGGAGCCCCCCCCACTCTCCTCTCCTCTCTCCTCACCTGGCGGTCAATTGCGATTCGCCGGTGTAACGTGGCGCGTTGCGCCCTGTGGTTACTTCAATTAGGTGGAATCATAGTTACGTAGATCGGCGGCTGTACGTCGGCGGTCGCAGCCAACGTAGCGGCCGACACAGAAGGCGCGCCTTGGTCACGGAGCCATCGCGGACGTGCCTCCCGACTCCCTTGACATTATCGCTAATCATCTCGAATCGATAGCCGCGTCTACGCGAGCGGAGCTATAGGTATGCGCCGGACGTGCGCTGTCCGGCGTAATGCAGCCAGATGCAACGCGGTGCAATCCAAGTAATTGATCTATCGGGACGAACGGGCGCCTCTGCGCTCGCGCGCTCGCGCTACAATAGCGGCGCTGACGAAATTTCCGCGTTAATTAGCGAGCCGCGATGATTTGCCCCCTCCTCCCCCCCCCCTTCCTCTCCGGTATTTCGCGAAGTAATTTTGTAGGATAATATTTTTCAAAACTTTGAAACTGTATTTTCAATTCCTGAAAAAGTATTGTAAGATATTATGACTTTTAGCGAAACTTTTAAGCAAAGCCGCGATCTTTAATCTTTTTAATCGTTGTAATTTGCTAACTATATTATTATTCGGGCTTTTATTTTTTACGCGTCGAAATTGTCGAGGAGCGAGATACTCTGATTCTCCTTTTCTCCCTCGCAAAAATTTCCAGATTAAAATCGTTCGAGCTTCGAATTCCTCGATCCTCGCGCGTCCTAGGATCCAAGAGTTATTACACGAAAACAGACGAGCTCTCGTAACGACCTAATAAAACGAGCCGCCGGGGCCACCTGGTGGAACCGGCCGCGTCGGGGGCCTCCCGAGCACGTTGACACAACTCATTTTTACGCGGTGTCCCGCGCGCGATGGGCGGCCGCGCTCGTCCCGCGCGCGGAGGCCCGCTGTTTATGCTGCTTTATGCTGGTGCTGGTCGTACCACCGCTCGCTGGGCTGAGTAATGGCGTGAGATCTGTGCCGTAGTCGCCGAGGGGGTGCCACGACCCGGCCGAAGCGCGCGCGATACCATCGGTACTCTCGCGTAGATTTCTAGTCGCCCGTCGCGACGTCCCGCATACGTGCCATCCCGACGAAATCGTGGTGCTCCCTTCCTCAGGGCCGCACATTCTGCTGGTATCACTGGGTATCACATTGAGAAATATAAAAGAAAGGAAAACGTGTCGGCTGGATTGCAGCCCGCAGACTCGTTTGCAATATTTAACGATCATTTACATAGTGTTCATTCTTGGATCAATTTGTAGTCGACTTTCCTTTGTAAACGTAAATCATCTTTTTATTTGGAAACTTAAAAAAAAAATTAACATCTTACTCTTGATGCTGATCTTTTTTTATTCACTTGGCAATATATGATTATAATCATATCTATTGATGCAGCATAGATTTAACGCAAAGAAATTTTGCATATTCCGATATTTTTAGGTATTTTTAGGTATTTTTGCGTTTAACCGTACTTTAATTTATTAAATTAATAATTCACTTGTTGAGCATACAGATACAGATACAGATTTTATCATTCGATTTAATGACCAGATAAATAATGATGTTTACACAGTAATCATTTATTTCAAATTTCAATAGTTTATTTAATAAGGATTTTTGTTTTGCGCCAAAACTTTAATGTGTACACTGCAGTCCTATTTTTTCGCTGATCAATTTTCATTTAATGAAAAAGAAGTCGAGTAGGATATAAATAACATCTCTTTTCATAATGTAGGAAAAAGCGTTTTGGCAATTCGCAATTGTGTGTGTATTTCCTGCCGCTAGTGAATCGTGATTTATCTCCCGCATTCATCTTATTTTTCTTTTTCTTTCTTTTGTTTTCAAAGATGCTTTGTGTTCATGCGTTGCTCTCTTGCATTCGAAAGTTTGGGTTTGCCGCTCGTAAATCACGCGAAAATAGAGCAGCAGAGAAACGAACTTTCAACGAGTCCGAGTTTTTGCACGAAACTTGCGAAAATCACCGCTAAATATTCGTATTTTGCAACCAAGTTATCTCGATAAACTCCGCACGAGATCGATCATTACTGCTGATATCTGCAACATTGGCAGTAATGATCAATTTCGTGAAGGAGATGAAAACAAAATAACTAGATTGC